CGTGATCCGAAATTATGTAATGTACTGTTAGTAATTACATATCACATTATTCAGATATTTGTGTAATGTTATTTTTTATATATAATTTTTTTTTATTATATATGAATTTTTTAATTAGTGCTAATTACAAACTATTTGGAATGCTAAGGGCGGGTGTGTGTTGTACCGGTTTTGAAAATGGCAGATGGGTCTTGTAACGATTTTAAAAAGGGCGGATAGGTGTTGTAATAGTCCAGGTGGATGCTGTAACAGTTTTAAAAAGGCCGGGTAGGTTTTGTAACGGTTTTGAAAATGGAGGTGGGTGTTGTAATAGTTTTGAAAAGGGTGGTTGGGTGTTATAATAGTTTTTAAATCGGCGGGCAGGTGGTTAGATAACTGTGTTTAAAACATTTTGTTATATTATATAATAACAGAGATCCCTTAATGTACCCTGCTTACGTGGGGTACTTTAAGAGATCTCTGTTAAAAAAAAGCGTGACAGTGTGACAGCGTGACAGAGAATCACGCTATATGAAAGGACAACAACAATGTTGTTGCCGATAGTACGTATGTACATAAACATACTGTATATATTTTTTTAATCTGCTTTGCAGGTCATAGTACGTACGTACAAACGTACGTACAGACGTACGTACATTTTTTTTTGTAGCACACTTTTTGATCTGCGATCAAAAAGTGTGACAGCGTGACCAAGAATCACGCTATATGAGAGACGTAGTACGTACGTACATAAACATACGTACGTATATACGTAATTTTTTTTTAACCTGCGAAGCAGGTCATTTTAGGTTATTTTAACCTGCTTTGCAGGTTAAAATGACCTGCTTCCAGGTTACAGTGTGACATAGTGACACAGAATCGCACAATAGTATAGGGGAGATAGATTTAAATGGGGATCCTAAATTTCAGAATTAGTCTACTTTGACATGGAATGGAATAATTTAGTGCAATAATGTAAAGAATAACACTTTATGAATGTCAATGTTGGAAATTTGATTTCGTAAAAAGTTCGTCCGATTAACTATTCGTGATTACCTTTAAATCAAGTTATATTATTTTAAAATTTTATCATCTCATTGTAGAGGATGCAGTTGCAGTGAGTACTTGAGCTTAGTGATTAGAATCTTTTTTTGAATAGATAGTAAATCGGCCAACTTTTCAGTTGTAAGTTAATTAAATATTCGAGAAATTCATAAAGTTTGCAAAATTTACTTTCACGGTATATATATGTACTATAAATCGGTTCTCATAACCCGGCCGGGTCAAATTTTGCAAAATATTTTTTCAAAGTATATTTACTATCTGGGTATTTTCTTAAAAGACATTTTCTAATTGTATACTGGTGTATTCAATGACTGTTCTCATGAGAATAGAGAAATAGCTGTAAGTGTTCTCAAACTATTGTTTATGTTCACTAAAAAGCGACTTAATAATTATATCTTACATAATCCATTTATCTACTACTTATGAGAACATTAATTTTGAATACTGGGTGCTTACACGGGCAATAGAGAAATCAACCAGTATCTCAAATTTTGATCATAAAATCACCTTTTGGCTTCTAATGAAAAAACAAATTTCTCGCAAAATTTGATATAAAATGTATCTTACCTAACCATAAGCAAGGGTTATCTTGATTGGTATGCTACACCTACAGCTTAATACCCGTGTATATACGTGTAGTGTACAAATCGTTTCCTTTTAATTAAAAAATATATATAATTTTTTTTTCAAAAAAAAAAGTTTTTAATTGCTTTTAAATTTTATTTAATAAACATATTTTTCATATAAGAACACAATTTTTTTTATTGTGCACAACGGAAATCTTTAAGGTGTACTACAGTCATCATAAAAGTCATTTGGAATTTGATAGAGATAATAATAAGAGTTAGAACCAAGGTTACTCCTAAAGTCTTAATACGTAGGTTCTTGAAGAGTCTGCTGCTATTTAAAAAGTGAAAGACTTAATAACGAAAAATAACTGATATGTCTAATTGTGAGCATTTTGAAAGTTCGTTTCTTAATTATTAGTGATAATTTCATCTATATTATGTTATTAATTAACATCATATCTTTTTAAAGAAGACTTAACACATTATCTATCGCTATCGCTATGATTTTTGATACTTGTTGGCGCAGTGATTATTGACCAAATATTTATTTTCAAAGCCTACACGTTCACCGATAGTTCCTTCATATTTGTAAGACATAAAATCGACACCGCCTGTTTATTCAATATCATAAACAATAAACATATGTATATGTACTCTAAAGCTTAGCCTTACTTGCCTGTACCAGTTCTTCGCTCAAAATAAATGGTTGATTATATTCCTTGAGAAAACTATGTCTTCCTCTCTTCTCAACCTTGTCTTTATTTTATCCTAAATAATTTGGTTATTGCTTATCGTGAAAACCAAAAAAAATTTTTTTATCCTTTAAAATAAGATGTCAATATTTTGGAAAATTGGAAACTTGTTAGCATATATATTTCTTCTGGGGATTAATCTTTATGGTGATCTTGGGCCTAGCCAGGTTTTTAATTTGTTCCATTTCTTTTTCGTGACCATTGGTTTTTTTTACGAATTTTACGAATTGTGAATACATACCTGATACGCGTAAATGTGCGTGAATAACCTTGTTAAATATGTTAACAGAATGTTTATAAAGAATTCTCTGTTACTTGGATTTTTATTTTAGTATTCTATAATTTGCAAAAAATTATCATAATACAATTTATGTTTTACATATTGATGCAAATTTTAGGAGAGAAGCCCATACTTTCTTTACCATACAACGTATATTACCCCTGCCTATTTTACGTTCTATGTATGGTTTCTTATTCATCTGTTATTAGGATGCTTTGGTGAGTTAAAATGTGAACATTTCTTCGATTCGATAAGATCTTAAACAAAGTTTAATTTATTTAAATTATATATTATTTTGTATAGTTATTTATCAATTTTTCCCAGAAAATGACCTAATAATTTCCGAAATTAGTTTTCACTTTGTAGCAGTAGCATTGTTGAATTCTTTTTGGCTTTTCCTTTGGGTATTTTATATTTAAATCTCATATTTAAATTCTCCTTAATTACATCTTACCAAATTTCTAAATTTATTTTTTAAAATACACAATCTCCTGTTTAAAGGAAATAGATTTTCTCTTTCTTGGCTTTATCGTCATTATTGTAATCTTACTACAGATCTCCTGGATTTATTGGCATTTGAGAAGATTTCCCATTAAAAGAATATATGATGCTCAAAATAGGTTTCATTATAAACATATTTTTGAAAATATTTTCATTCATGTCCCATTCTCTTTATATCACGCATGGATTTTAGTAATCGCTGTTCTTACGACATACGCAACTTTTACACCTGATAGACCAGTTGCTTATGATGCAGCTGCTATCGAAGCTGTCTCCAATGATACTGCAATTGCTGAGGCAGCTGTTATCTATGAAAGTCCTGGTGTAATTGTTCAAATTTTAGTGGTTTTGGGACTTCTTTTCATGGAGTGCACTGCAGTTGCTTATATTGAGAAATTTAGAGGTGATATTACCGGTGCAGCTGTAATTGCTTGGACTTTATATGGTGTTTGGAGTGAACAACAAGATGTTGTTATACGATGGACTGCTTTCGTTCTTGCCTTAATTACTACATTCCATATCTTGAAACCTATTATTCTTAAATATATTCTCAAGAAACAAGTAGAAACTGCACCTATTGTTTAAAATTTTTTTTTTTTAAAAAAAATCACTTTTTTTTTTCCTTGTTAATTAGTTTGATTCAGTTATTTAGTTTGAACTATTGATAATGTTGATTATATTTTCGGAAGAAAATTTTTTTTCTTAATAGTTTGATTTTAATTAGAGTATGCTATTTCAGGGATGTTTCATTTGTTTAAACAATGAAACATTCCTGAAATTGCGTAAGTCTGGATACTCTAATTTTAATAATAATAAAATAACAGCATGTTCTTTTTATTAACAAAATGAGGAAATAAAGCATTTCTTTACAATTAAAATACATATGTATGGTTCTTGACGAGAATAAATAATTATAATATTATATAGTAAAAACTATAATAATATTAGTACATACGGTATATAATTTTTTTTATTACCATCACGAAAATTTCAGATCAGCGACAATAGAATTTATCAATTAATATTGATTATTGAAAATTTCATTGGCATAGAGATAATGGATAAAATAATAAGATTTATAAGTCATCACCGAATTAATTAATAAATAAAATTAATAAAATTGAAAAAAATTCAATAAATTTATCATATCAAAAAGATTTATTAATTTCCATAGAAAAAAAAGAAATATTAAAGTCGCACTTTTCACCATTCCTTAGATTCACAACTAAAATTCGATATTTTTCCTTTTACAAATCCAACGAATAACTTTTTTTTTTTAAAAAAAAAATGTATCAAATTTACAAATTCCTTTCAACTTTTTTGATTCTTTCGGTGCTAATTCCATCTCTCCTTGCTTATTCAATCCCAAATTCAAAATATAATAAACCAAATAATCGTCGTGACTTAATCAATCGTTCACGAACTGACTTTAAGAACGTTTCTAAAAATAAAAGATACATTGGTCCAAGTTTCAATAATATTCATCATACGCAATTATCTAAACGTTGTATATCACCAATTATAGAATCTACATTATTGAATCCACTTTGTAATGATTGTGGTTCGTGTGGAACTTGTGAAGCACTTTGTAATGGTTTTGGTTCGTGTGGAACTTGTGGAGGCTTTGCACCATTCTGTGGTTTTTGTGGTTCTCCATGTGACATTATTCCATCACCATTCTGTGGTTCTCCCTGTGACATTATTCCACCACCTTTACTAGGATGTGGAACGTTGGGTTGCGGTGGATGTGATATTCCACAGGTGTTATCTAATGATCAATTATGTTTAAACGAATTTCAAAGTGCTTCTGAAAATGAACATGCTTTACAGTGTTGTGACGAATCTCAACATCAAGTCTGTTCTGATTGTTGTAATGGCAATGATTTTAATCTTATTATTTAATTTTTCAAATGTTCTTTTTTTTCTTTATTTATATTTATATATATATTTTGGAGTAGTAAAATGTTTAGAAACAAGTGTAGTAATAGTGATGTAAAATTGAACAATACATTCAATAATATTGTATAATTTTTTCATTTTTTCTTTATTCGATGATAATAAAAAAGCATAATTAACGTAAATGTATTTAGACTATATTGTTCATCAATAAGATTGACCAAATTATTTTTAGCTTTGCTTCGAATTTTGATAATTATAATTTTTTTCGGTTGTAAAAAGCTTTTATACCATTTTACTAAAATAGCACTAGCGATATTACGACAACCACATATCCAAATCCAACCAAAATTGGTTTATTTTAATTCTACATGTCTATAGAATACAAAATAAAAAAAAGTTTACCGAGTTTAGTTTGATTGTTTTCGTGATATTGTTTGTGCTATTTTAGATGCTAGAAAAATCGAGAACTCTGAACTACAAAGTAATAAGTTTAATTTATTGTTACATTCACGTTATGGAAAAAAAGATTTTTGCAAAGACCTCAATTTTACATTTTTATTTACATTGCATGGCATCTTAAATGTTTAAAATTAATATCACGATACGCCTTTAATTATACTATTATAATTCCTTTGTCGATCGATCGATGAATAATTTTAGTACATATTTTATCATTTATCTTTCCACTTAGGTACTGTATGAATTCATTATTTTTTGTAGCAAAGATTTAAATAATACCATATTGACATATATACTTTTTTTAAATCGTTAATTTCGAATTTATTTATTCGAAGGTTAAAAAATTTAAGTTTAAATTTTAGTCATTTTAAGCTGAATAATTACTCGTTAATTAAAATATTTATAAAGGTTAACAAAATGTAAAAAAAAACATATATAAATAACTATATATGTTTTATGTTTAAACTAAAAAAAAAAAAAAAAAAAAAAAAAAAAAAAAAATTTTTTTTTTTGAACATCAAATAACGATACTAATAAATATGTACTTTATTCATTAGTACGTAATATCCATCATATAAAAGCTAAATAAGAATTCTTTTCTAAAATTATTGGCGTTAAGTGTTATGAAATATAAATTAGAAAGCTTGTGCTGAACCCCCTTAATGGAGTGAATCAAATCTAAAAAAACACGGACTTGGAGAACCTGGGTATCGAACCCAGTACCTCTCGCAGACTCATAATGCGAAGCGAGCGCTCTACCATCTGAGCTAGTTCCCCACTCTCTAGTTTCTGCGCTAAAAATTTTTTTATTATATATTTTTTAATTATTTATTAAAGATAATTATATTATTATTACTAAACTAAATAAAAAAAATATATATTATTACTGTATTTATCCGACATTTGTGCCCTTTATACAATATTCCGAAGGTGATCAATAGGAACTTTTGTCTATTTTTAATCGTTGCTCTTGTATTATTTTTACGAGGTTAATGTGTTGAAGTACATTAGTGATATTCCTGGAGTATCAATTTGCATTCGGTAAAAAAAAAAAATATCAGTATCAGTATACATACATACGTACAGTACTTGGTTTAATTTATAATATATATCGATATTGTATATCAAAACTAAAGATTTAACCAATCATATTTCGTTAAACCTGATCAAGTGATCTGGTCAAGCATATTTTAATGTTAGGGTTGAAGTGTGAGAAGTTATATGGGGATTTAGACAAAATCTATACCAAAATTATGAGTAGAATTTTTTTTTTCTTAAGGCACTAAGAGCGATTTCATAGGCAAAATGTTGAAATAACGATAAAAGTTTTTTTTTAATTTTGTCGATCAACTTGTCACATGTATGGATTTGTATTCTCCCTGATCGACTAAGTCGACTTGGTTGAAGTTCAACTATTGTCTTTTTTAAGATTGTTCAACTATTTTCTTTTTAAGATTTTCGCTGGATAATTTCTTATTGTTTACACAGGATTTGTATCGAAAAAAAAAATACGCAATTCTCTATAACAATACCATGAATTTGCCCTTAATGACTTAGTCGACTAAGCCGACGACCGAGCCGATGACTTAGTTAGTCGACTATTAGTCGATCGACTAACAACACTAGATTCACTTGGGTCACGATATTACCGGGATAATCTTATTTTAAGTTCTTCAACCCTAGTCGGGCCAATGTACGGAATTTTGAGTAAACGATAATAGACAATCTGGTACTAGTGGATATAATTGACGGTAATAACGGTTTTAGAAATCAATTATACCATTGGTTCGTACATTAATTAAACCGAAAAAAAATTGTTTGTTAGCCAATCAAGTTCTTGGAACTAAGTTCGAAACTTAAGTTTAAAACCAATTTCGTATAATGTATAATTGGGACTGGAGCGAAAAAGAGCAGAGTAAAAGACCTTGGAGTCTTACTTATAAGAATTCAGCCGATGTCTGGTTCCTGGTTCTGTAATTATGATAAATTTTAGGATATGCTCTGTAAATCAACAATCCGATCATTAAAAATACGTGATTGTTTTCACAAAAGAAAAATTATTAAAAATTAGAAAGTACGTTGGAATCGGTCGAAAATTTTCAGTCAATTAGTCAATCGACTAAAATTTTTAGTCATCGACTAATTATAAAAAATTTAGTCGATTACTTGACAAAAATTTTACGATTCTTATTTCCTAGTACAAGGTTGCAGCAGTGATTACTTTTTTTATGACTCGATTTACGCAAATATGCTACGTACATACTATCATATTAATGGATTAAGTTGTTGTGTTGTCAATTTCTTGTTCTATTGATAAAAATTATATTCTATTCTAATTTCTATTGTTCTATTCTATTGTTCTATTGTTTTATTTATTTATTGCTATATTAATATCTAATTATAATCTTGTTGGCAATTTTTTGTTCTATTGACAAAATTTTTATTCTATTCTAACTTTTATTGCTCTATTCTACTGTTCTATTGTTCTATTAATCTATTGTTGCCAACACTGATTATAATATATAGCTACAGTACTAACTCTACAATTTCCTTTTAAAATTTAAAACCTAATACAATAAGGCATCAGTTCTAAAAAATGCGATCAGCAATGAGATAGGTTGCAAACAGAAAAAAAAAACAAGGACTGCAAAGAATACACTGACAATCATAAGTAATGCAACAAAAAAAAAGTTTAGTTGGATCAGATTATCTCACGCAGTTCCAGGCGTATCCGTTAGTTTTTCTTTTTTTTTTATTCACAAATTGTAACATGTTCATTAATAAAAAAGTTTAAAAGATTTAGTGATCAAAATTTTTCATGGGCACGAATTTTATTTTAATTGTCGTGTTGCGTTATTTTTGCTCATTTTCACAGCAGCACGACTGTAAAACAAAAAAATTTTTTTTTTCTACCTAAACATTTTTGGCCTTCACCATCTGCTGTACTTGCCCCTGGTTTTAACTACATTACAGGTTTGTTCTGATATTGAATGAATTAATCTTGTGCAGGTTTCAATGTTGATTGCCTACCAAACCATCTGAATTTTTTTCTAGAAATCCTTCTCACTTGAAATTTGATCAGAAAGATCTTTAAGCCGATGGTCAATTTTATTTTATAGGTGTTTGATTAGGTTCAGATCAGATGATTAAGGGATCAGTCAAATAACTTAATCTTATTTCTTTTTAACCAATATTCTGTCAAAATTGTCATATGATAAAATGTTTCATCTTATTAGAAAATTATTTTATCAACTTCAAATCCATAATCTTTGATCATTAGTATCAAATTTTCATAAAGTATTTGATGATACAACCTTACTATTCATTATACTATTAATCTTGTAATAGTTGCTAACACTATAAAGATAAAGTAACTCAAATTATAATTGAACTGTTGTTATATTTCATGGTGGATTTGACATGAAACTGATTAAATGATTCTTCATAATGCTTCTAATAGTATTGTTTATTATCTGATTTAAAATGTTGAAATCTTAATTTATTTGATCAGATTACCTTGGACTAATTATATTATAAACCTAACTTATTGCTCCTATAATGTATTCTTTTTGAAGAAAAAGTAATACTTAAACTTGTTTAGTAGAAATTATATAGGTTTTTTTTTAGTTTAATTAGTAATTAATTTTAACATAATATAAAATAAAAATTAATAAAAAATTTACATTTTTATATATAATTTTATAATACAAATTATATGATTTAATCTTTATTAAAAATAAGTAAAAATAATGCAATACATATTTTGTAATAAAAGTATAATTATTTTTGTATTTGTAATAATAATAATTACTAAAAATAGGGGTGTGACAACCTAGTGAAGTGGTCAGGTTGTCAACCTTTCAAGTGGTCAGGTTGTCAACCTTCCAAGTGGTAGGTTGAATGTTCAAACCTATCGATAATAAAAATTTAGATAATCACCTATGTAATATTTGTATTACAGCAACTGTTACTAATGATTGGGTTAGGATATCTGTAATAGCAGTCACACCAGCATAACTAGCAGGTTATAAGGCATCTGTGTAATGTTGAAATTATACAGAAGAATGCAAACCAACAAATCAGGTGGTACAAACACTAGATAAGTCCTTGTGGGCATATAAATTTGTTGAAATTAGGTAACAAGAAGTCTATTTGGGAAAACCTGAATAGAAAGGTAGCTGAATCTTTGACAGTCCTACTGACTTGTCTAATAAAATGGATACCAAGATTTAATACCTGATCATAGTAACTAGACAAACAAAAACCTTTGGGTTAAGAGTCTCAGAGATACTACCAACCAGGCCATCAGAACAAACTATAGAAAAAGAATATTAGGTTAATCTAATATATTGATAAACTAGTCATAGTTTTACATAAACTATCTGAATTGAGAGTTTGGTAAAAAGGCAAAGAAAAAGGCAGGGGTATACTAAAGTACTGGAGTTATGCTATGAAGTAGATGCTGGAATCTAAGTAAACTCTACAAAGGCACAGCAGTTTAATAATTAAACTCTAATCACAAGTGTTGGTTCTGCTATAATGATATTTAGGTCAGTTATAAAAATAAGTACAGAAGGTTCTAAAGAGTTTACCTTGAGGATAAATTAGTTCTAAGATTGAGATAATGATCTGGGTATCTAGATATAACCTAGTAAGTTAATACAGATTACAGGTTCAGAAAGTTTAAATTGGAACATCCAAGCAGAGGTATTAGGTATAGCAATTGGTAAGGAACCTTTAGGTAAATTCTTTAAATAGATAATATAGAAAAGTTATATATATAACTAATTGTATGTTCTTTTGTAATAGTTCATTGAACTACAATACCAATAAGTGATTAATAAAAGTCAAAAGACCAAAGAGGTCACCTTAATATCAAAAAAAAAAAAAATTACTAAAAGTTTATAATTACTAAAAAACATTATTTATAAAAAAAAATAAATTAATAGATATACCTAGAATTGTATAAGATAATCTGATCTAATAAAAATTTTTTTGTTATATTACTTATAATTGTCAGAATTATAATAAAATTTACTAAAAACTAGCAAACTGTAGTAATTTTAAATATACAAATACTAAGTAGAAGATCTTTTATTTAAAAAAAAATAAAATAGATAAAAATAAAAAATAAATAAAAAATAAATACTTAAAAATGAAATTTAAATTTAATAGCTTTTTAGATACTATAAAATACAACAATAAAATTAGTTTTTAAACTAAATACTACTGTTCAGTCTGTATAGATCAGGTGTAACAAAATATTTATTCTGTACAAGAATTAATTTAAAACTTAAAAATATCTGTAGAGTATAACCAAAGAAAGAAAATTCTTAATAATCAGCCCATTAACAACTATATATAATTTTTAAATTACAATAATATAAAACTAATATTTGTTAAATAACTAATTAAAAAAACTAGCTTTTTACTTTATATTATTATTAGACAAAGAAAAAAAATAATAAATAAAAATAAAATATAAAGAAAAATAAAATAAAAAATAAAATAAGGAATAGTTTTTATTAATAATATTTAAATAATAATAGTTAAAAGTTTATTTTATTAAAGAGTTTTAGGAGATATAATAGCTTAGTGAAGTAGATAGGTTGTTAACCTTCAAGTAGTAGGTCTAAAGTTCAATTCCTATAAATAATGAATTTTAAAAATTATATTTGTGTTATGATAACTGTTTTTTGTTAATTAATTAGGTTTTGAACATTTGTAATTTTAGATACAACAAGTTGAGTCCTATCTAACATTAGAAGCTTGGGGCATTTATATGAAGTATAATATTACATATATATAGAAAAATGTGAAAAACTAGTATTATATAAGGCTTCGATACAAACTTATAATAAGACTACTAGGTATAGAAGACTAAAAAACCAAAAAAATAAAAATCCATTTAGAAATCCCAATTAAAAAGATAGTACAAACTTTTAATGATACTGTCAGACTAATAAAAGCTCATGAAACATCTTAAAGAAATTGTTAGATAAACCAGACAACAGATATATGAAAGAAGCATATGCACCAACTAGATTGCTAGATTCATTAAAGAAAAAGAATACATAAGTATACCATATCAGTTTATTTAAATTGGTATTCTGAGGAGTTCTATCAATTCTGAGTAGCAGTTAATAAGAGATAATAAAAAAAATATCAGAAAAGATAGGTACTAGAGTTTGAATAAATTTTACAAAAATAATAGCAGTTTAATAAATAATTCTAATTACAAATATTAGTATTAATCATAGTATCAAACCAGATTAGTAGTAAAAAGAAAATATGGTTTGTTCTGATAAGTTTATTTTGATAATAAAATAGTCTAAAAATTATAGTTTATAGTTGAAAATAAAAGAATCTGAGTCAAATAATCTGATAAAGTTAATACCAGAGTCAGATCAGAGGGTTTAAATAAAATATCTAAGCAGAAGTATTAAATATAGCAATTGATGAAGAACCTTTAGCCAGACTTCTTAAATAGATAATATAGAAAAGTTATATGCATAACTAGTTATATACTTATTTAATAGTTCAATATAGATATATCTATATAAACATGTATTTGATATAAGTATTAATAAAAAGTTAGGACATTATTTTTTATTAAACTCTTCTCAATGATCATTTGAACCAAACTTTTCAAAAAGCTAAACTATAGAAAAATGATATAGTTAATATATTAAACTTTATAAAAACTTTTTTAGAGTATTGTATATGCATAATTGAACATTAAAATAGAGTTGAAAAAGAATTTACAGCTTTGTGGTAATGGTTTAAACATATTTTAGAACTATAGAAAAAATAGTTAATAAAAGCTAAAGTTTTTATTAAGTAAATAACAAAGTTGAATATATTAGTTTTATACAACTGTAAAATCTACAAGAAACATCTATAAAGGTCAAAAACTTACAAAAGCTACAAAGTTGGTTCATCTCTCATCTTTACTTTGCTTCAAGGAAATTTTGTAAAAGTGAGTGATTTAGC